ATTGCCAAAAAGGTTTTAAGACAGTGGTGGGATTCAATTTTTTTTTGCTACCGGTTCTGTGGGTGTCGCTTGGTAGGCGCGGCAAGGAAAGGAAACTGCAAAAATCTCCAGTCAGAGGTGGGATTTGCCGGTTCTCTGAACTACTCAAAATTTCCACTACCGGTTCTCCGTTCAGGACCTGCTAAATACCACCTCTGCTTTAAGAGTTGTTAACCTTATTTTGTGAAGCTTTTCTCCAGCAACATTGAATTGTTAACTAGGGCATACAAAACCTTTGCCAGACCAATTCTCGAATACAGCTCATTCATCTGGAACCCACACTGTATATTGGACATTAACACAATTGAGCGGGTTCAAAGGTATTTCTCAAGAAAAGTATTCCACTCCTCTACTCACCATAGAATTCCCTCTGCCTCCAGGCTCAAAATTTTGGGCCTGGACAATCTGGAACTGCGCCACCTGCGGTCTGATCTAAACATAGTTCCCAAAATTGTCTACTACAATGTCTTGCCTGTCAATGACTTCTTCAGCTTCAATCTCAATAATACATAGGCAAACAACCAATACAAACTCAATGTAAACTCTCTAAACTCGATTGCAGAAAATACAACTTCAGCCACAGAATGGTCAACACCTGGAACGCCCTACCCGACTCTGTGGTTACAGCCTCAATGCCTCACAGCTTCAACCTCAAACTGTCTACCATGGACCACACCCCTTTCCTAAGAGGTCCTTAAAGGGGGCGTGCATAAGTGCACCAGCGTGCCTACCATCTCTGTCTTACTGTCCCATTTATCTGTATTTACTTTCTTTTTTCTTGTTTATGTTCATACTTATACTTGTTATCTTGCACATGTTTGACAAACAAACAAATAAATAAATATAGCCACAGGAAGATCAGCTGCCATGGAATTTTGCTCCATTACAGCATACCTGAAAATTGAAGTGTACCTAATTGATGGTAGATGGTACAACTGTTCCTTTCCTGAACACCATCACTCTGCTAAACAAATAATTCCCTCAACACTGTCCAACTATTTACTAAGTCTGCATTACTATTACTATTAATCTTCTCATCACTCCTTATCACCCATCCCCTCCCACTTATGACTGTATGACTGTAACTTTGTTGCTTGTATCCTGATGATTTTTATTGACCGTTTCCTAGTATTTGATTGCTTATTGTACCCTATATTAAGAGTTGTACCTTATGATTCTTGACTCTTGACGCATGTATCTTTTATGCACACTGAGAGCATATGCAACAAGACAGTTCCTTGTGTGTCCAATCACACTTGGCCGATAAAGAATTCTATTCTATTCTATTCTATTCTATTCTATTCTATTCTATTCTATTCTATTCTATTCTAAGCTGCTTATAAAAGAGGCCAACCTAGTTCATTTTTATGAAAGCAATCCATTTTTTAGTCCTAAATCTACCTTGATCAGAACCTGAGGGCACACTGAAAGAAAGAGAAGTGGGGGGCATACTTGAAGTAATTATATATAAGTATATTTTTTTCTGAGATCAATTCTAGGTCTGAGTACATCTTGATAGTCATATCTGGGAGCAAACATCAATGCTGGCACTTAATGTATAACGTACTAATGTAGTTAAGAATTGCTATTCTAATTTTCCATTGAAATCCAGGATGCTTCAGAGGCATTGTGTCAAACTGAAACAACAGATTCAACCTGTTGGTGCTTTTCAGAACACTGGACAGGAAAACCAGATGAACGTCTAATGCAGGCACTAGTTCTGTAGAAGAATGAGTTCAACTATGTGAGGTCATTGGTTCCACTAATGACCCATAAAGGACTGATAAAGGGCTTGGTTTTTCTTATTCAACCAACAAACAACCCATGTTCTACTAGTGTGGATCAAATATAATGAATGGGTGCCCTCACACACTTGGCGGGAATCTCTGATGCTAGTCCTCAGCAATTGACTAACTTTGGCTGATGTAGAAAGATAAGGAGTCAGTTGATCTGTCCTTGGAAAAGAAACCAGCAGGAAAGAGCTAGAGGTTACACTGGGATGTTGAACGAACATCCTGGAAGTCAGCAATTCTCCATGTCATGCCACAAAAATGGCACTGGTGGATTTGAAAGAGACTCTGGTTTATCTTGAGACTGGAAGAAACCTTCTACCATCATTCCTAGTGAATTTGGTTTTTGCTTTCTTCATAAACATTTTTATCATTTGGTAAGCTACAATCAATCTCCTCCTATAAAGCAGCTGAGAAGTTCTGGGACTGATCCTAAATGCTCTACTCTGCTATTGTCCCACAGGCAGTGTGATGGATTTGAAACCTGACCTTTTGAGTCCCTTGCAATCTCCAAGAAGAAGCAACCAATGGAACACATCACATTTCAGACTGCTAGAGGTCATAACCAAACTGAACAGGCTTTCCTATACCCTGAACATCCTCAAATCTTCTAAGAGAGTAATTTTGCTAAGGACAAAGGAGAATTGTCAAATAAGACTAAGAAAATTCCATCAAGTTCAGCTTCCCCCACCCAGATTCCTGTTAAACTCCTAAGTAGCTCTCCTGTCCCCTCCATCAGCAACTGCTCTTTAAAAATAATGCACCTCTAAGCTCATTGCTACTCTGGTCAGAGACCACTTGCAGATAGACCAGATCATTATTTTATTTAATTCTCTTCCCTACAAACATTTTTTTCAATACATCTTTATTACAAATCCTTTAGTTGTCTTATTACACAGGTGTCAAATTTGCCATGTCACATTGCTGTCACATGGTATTTTGCGACGTTTTTCTCCATTTGCAGAGCTGGGATGGGTAGGCCTCTGCATGATGCCTCCAGCCCACGGGCCTGTCTTATTATAACACAATAATATGAAATAAACATCTATAAATATCACCAAAAAGCAATGCAACTACATGCAAAAGCAAGGAAATGTTTGATACAAATCAAAGCTGGTCAAATACAGCAGGGGTGCCAAACTGGATTTCTTTGAGGGCCAGATCAGCATTCTCCTTTGTGGGCGGCCGGGGGGGTGGGGAAGAGATGGGGTGGGCACCTCCTGCAGCACCCTGCCAGCCAAACCAGGGCAGGGGGGCACACATGCCCCCCCCACAGCCCATTTTTGGTCTGGACTGCTTCCTGCAGCACTTTGCCTGCCAAAACAGGACATGGGGGACATGACCTGGATGCCCTCTAACTCTAACCCTGCTGGCCAAAATGGGGCTCAGGGAGTTTTGGCTGCCAGAGGCACTGCAGGCCCCTCCTTTGCTCAGGCCGGCCAGATTTAAGCACTCTGTTGGGCAAATCCAGCCCATGGCTCTTGAGTTTGACACCCCTGAAATACAGAAAGATTTAGGAAACATAACTAGCCAAGAAGTATTTAGTACCCCTCCCTGTAAAGACTGAATCAATAACTTACACCACTGAACCTGGAATTCAAAGAAAGAAACTCTTGATACTTGGCATATCGACTGAAATGTGCAAAATTGACCAATAGCCATGAGGTGCTGTTGAGGTCCTTTGTGCAAGCTGATCCTGCAATTAAAAAGTTAGGAATAATATTAAACAGGTTATAAAGAAGCTTTAAATGATCCAGGGTGGTAGGGAAGTATAATGTTTGGCATTTTAAAGATCCCTGAACCAACTTTCTCCAACTGAATGCTTCCTTTTCTTTCTCTTTCTCCCTATTCCCTTCTACTAAATTTTATTTTTTCGTTTTTATTATAATGCCATAAATCTTGATGTGTTGTACTATTTGAATATGGTGATATTTATAAGATATGATTAGTAGTCATTAACATTCTATTATTAAGATAGCTTAATGTACTGAAAAGAAAAAAATATCAATATTGATTATACCTTGGGATGATAATATTACAAACCATAAAATTATTTGGGCTTTTCTTCATCTGAACGTAAATATAACATTGACAAAAGAATGCTGCAATTCACATCAAAGTATTAGTTATATGATAATGGTTTCAATCTTAAGATTGCAACTTAAATTCTCCACTTTCTTGTTACTATATATTAAAAATATAAAGGAAGCAAATTGAACAAAAGTTAAAATACCTAAAAGGCAAAAAGATATTTCCAAATCTATTACTGAGAATTTCAATTACCCTGAAGTCAAAATAGATTATTGAGGATAGGGTTCCATTTGCAGTCCAACACATTTAGAAGGGGTGAAGTTGGGGGGGTTCATCAGCCCATTCATTTCATGGAATATTTTAAACAATGGCTCAGCGTCAGCTGAGACTTGGCAGTTTGTGGCTTAGTGAGTTGTGTGAACTCACAATTTCCTAGTATGTTATATACCATTATCATATATAGCACATGATATGAATGGGCCTCGCTAAGCTGATTGAAACAGTTTGAATAATCCAGCCAGCTATGGCAAGAGGAGCCTGGATTTTGTCGTGCTCGTTCTATGCAGGCAAAATGAGGTAGGTGAAATCAAGGTGATATTGCTGAAGCCCCATTCATAAAAGGGCTGGGGTTTGATTATACTGCCCCACCCCAGGTGCTCCGGATGACCAATCAGCAGGAGGACTGAGGGTTCCCTGCACTCCAGGGGGTCTCTGTGGGAAGAGGAGGGGAAACATGGATTCCCACCAAATTGGAGCTAATATTGGATGGAATGAGGGACTTTCACATCAGACTTTTACATTGTAAGCCACCCAGAATCATTGGATACAAGATGGGAGGCAAGCAAATTTTATAATTAAATAAATAAGAGCTACTGCAAGCATGCTAGAGATCCTGGGAATATTGCTTTTTCATTGTATGTCCCATTGTTTCATCTTTTTACTTAGAACTCCAGGGGAATTAGTTTCCCCCTCACCAGGAGTAGGAAAATAAAAGCCCTAGATTAACTTGCAATTGCCCAAGATTATAAAACTGTAAAAATAAATCTTGGCTCATTTGGCCCAGCCCAGGGACTAGACTGCAGTGTACTTCAGATCAGCTACCAAGAGTCCACACCCAGACAAATACCATTGTTCTCTTACCACTAGCATTCAGTCCCCTTAAATAAGGAAGTTGGAACGAGTGGAAAACTTCGTATTGGATGTGATGATTCATCTTCATAAATTCTGCATCTAATCCTTTAACACTGAGAAACAAAAGCATGTTTTGCAAAAGAGAAGGGATAGATAGGAAAAAATGAAGACCAGGATAAAGAGGAAGGGGGTGGGGGGGAAAGTCTTCTAAAGCAAAGATTCACTGTTTTTTAGGACTAGCCTGCTCCAATCTGGGGTCCTTCAGATGTAATCTGTGGCCTTCCCCCAACTTGTGCAGTCATTTTGGCTGGGAATTCTGGGAACTGCACTCCCAAAATATCCTGAGGGCACCAGCTTGGAGAAGCTTGAGTTCTGATGTCCACCTAGCTTCTAAAGAACTCAAGCCCATTTCAAACTGGGCTCTAAATCAGGGTTGGGATTCGAATTTTTTAACAACCGGTTCTGTGGCATGGCTTAGGTGGTGGTCGTGGCTTGGTGGTCATGTTATTGGCTGGATGTGGCCAACTCAACATCACTCACATCAAGGCACGCATCTCCTCACCTGGCCTCTCAAGACTGTGGACTGGCCTCTCAACAGTCGTAAGTGTGAGTCACTTTTTTCAGTGCCATTGTAACTTTGAATGGTCACTCCACACAAGCAAAGGACCAGCAAAGGAGGGGAAAAAAACTCCAGAGAAGTTCCTGAGACAGGAAGTCTAGTCCTGCCAAGAATGTAGTAAGGGTTAATGGAGAGGCAGTTTCTGTAAGCAACACCAGAAACTTCCTGCCTTCCTTACAGGATTAGCCCTGTAATTTCTAACAAGCAGTTCTCTGAACTGCTTAGAATGTTAACAACCGTTCTAGAGAATAGGTGCGAACTGGTAGAATCCCACCCCTGCTCTAAATCCTCCAGAATGGAGGGCACCAAAATGAACCAGTCTCCTTGCAATTTTGCTCCTTTCTGGATCCAAGCAAAATCAACTTGTTTAAGTTCCAAACAAATCCTAACAGCCCTCCAATTAGAAGAGCTAGCAAAGGATATAGCTTCTTTCTTACTACAGGATCATTCCTCACTGCATTGGAAGAAAGAGCAAAAGAACAATTACAACATTAACTATAATGGTATAATGAAAAACCACTGGATCATTTATACTTATCAGAAAATTAATATGATAGGTGTCAGTTCTACTACCAGAAACAAGTAGTATCTATATATCTAAAACAAAGGTTGATCAAATTAGGGCAAAGCAGCTATTCTATAGGTCACCTATAACTTACAGCAAATACATCTATCAGTTATGGGGTGGGCAATGGCTGAGTCAGAGGTCCCAGAGGAGACATCTTGATTATCTTATTTAATACCCCCCTTGTTTATAGAATACACATAACAAAATACAGAATTCAAATGAGAAGCCTTATTGCTAATTTCTAAATGTTTGATTTTGCAGAATCATCCCCCAATAAAACTCTTATTAAACAGGCTTGATAGGGAGAGATAGAAATATCTCTTAAATATGTTCTGGAGAATACCACAAAAATATTCAGCACAGACTGAAGCCTTGCTTCGTGACCTTGAATAAAGGTTCCAGATATGTGAATTCCAATTCTCAGAATTCCGCAACAAGTATAGTAATATCTTAGGAGCTAAAGTACACATAACTGGAAGTTCTTTAAATTAAGAAACTCTTTGCTACATGGATAAAAGAGACAGATGGACATGTTGTCTGAACTGATGCAAGTTGTTGTTGAAAACTACTGCGCCCACATATATAATTCAACACTGTCTTTGTAGAGTTAGAAAGTTAATGCTGGGGCTAAAATGAAACATTTGCGTATAAATGTTTCTATACCCTAATAGATTCAGACAGCTATTTGCTGGCTATAGAAAAATCAAAATTTCAAAATACTTGAAGTTTGAGAATTGACAATATTCCTCTCCGGTAGACATGCTAGCAGGTGTTATGCAATCCTGGGAATAATTGAACAGTCATGACGGAAGAAAAGATTAAGAGTGCCACCACATACATCGCCTGGTATTGCTCGCACTGCATGGTCTCATTGTGAAGACACTGGAGCATCTCTGGTGAAATTCCCGAGATAAAAGGGCGAAGTCTTTTCTGGAACCAGGATGTCACAAAGGCGGTCTCATTGAAGCAATCTTCGTTTCTTAGCTTCTCATCCCACAAAGCTCTCATGATGGCACTTTTCGCTTGATTGGAAATTAAGGAAGAGTTCACAATCTGGGGAGGAGACATGAGAGTTGCAGAGAAATTGCAACCTAAGGGGAAAATGGAATATGCAGCACAAAAAGGGAACAGACATCATGGGAACAGAGGCTTTAAGGAAGAGTGAACTCAGAGAACATTAAGAATAGTTTAAGATCCCAAACATCAGGACTAGGAAGTCGAGGAGGCCTTCCTCCCGTTCATGATCGAAGGGCCTTGAGGCAACCGAAAATCTGCCAGCGCTTCTTGCCAGGCTAGTTCTGTCTCACTCAGGGGCCAGTGCTGTCCTCAGGCATCTAATGTGAAACAACTTCGGGAAAGCAACTGCTAGAGTGCCCTTGTGTCACCCATCAGGGAAAGAAAATCCCTGGCAACTGTTCTCCTTGAGAGGAGACAAGATCGCGAATGTACACAGCAAGGGTGTGCCTCCCAGAAGGTGCCCACACATCAGGTGCAGCAGTTCACCTGCAAGCGAATCTGCCTAACTACCTGTTAACTGTTACCTGTTACCTCTTGGCTAAAGCACCTTGTTTTATTCCAACTTTGGAAGCCCACTGGGCAAATGGTCATAAAGACTGCTGGAGAAGCAGGAAGGGAATTCTTTAGCCGTAAGTTCTCTAAATTCTCTCCACATCACGGCAGTCTCCAAAAGAGGTGACATGAGGGGGAAGTATGATAAATGGAGGGGGGGTAAATTAAATTAACATCTTCCTTTCACCTTTTCCTTCTCGTTTCTCCCCAAAGCCTGAAAAACAAGTGGCAGTCATGAGGTTCGCAATTTGGCACCTGAAGTAGGCAGGTGTGTAGCCCAAATTGTGAGGGGCTGTAGAAGAAAGCCTGGGCCCAGGAGCTTGGCTTATGCATCTGCCCCTTGCTGTGGACACGTGGGACTGCCTACCCCGCATGCCAGCAGCAGCAGCCCCAACTGAAATATCCCAGTGGAAATATCAGAGGGTGAAGAATAAATGCACAGGACGAAGCCAAATTAAAAAAAAAACACTCTCCTAAGCTTTCTGGATCTCCCAGATGTGTTGGAGGGAAACTCCTCTTAGACCCAGGCCACATGGGCCATTTGGAGAAGGTTGCCCTCACTTCCATGAAGCACAGGGAGCTTTGTTGGTTCATTCATTAGTAAACTCACAAACTGCTTCCCCAACAGCAGAGCGTGATCTATTGCTCAGTGTCAAGAAATAAGGAGGTGAATTATGAGTGAATTCACTAAGGCTCTGGGAGTTGCCTGAACTCCCATTCTCTGACTGCAGACCTAAAGATGATACAACAGGGGGGGGGCTCATGTGGGGGGGGGGGGGGGTCTGCCTACTGAGATGAGGTGGACCGGTTGCTTTCGTAGTGTGGAGACAATAACTTGGTCCTCAACACCGATAAGACCAAGGAGCTTATAGTGGACTATAGAAAGAACAGATCAGACATCCAGCCCTTGCTTATCAATGGAGATCGAGTGGAGCAAGTGGCCAGTTTTAAGTTTCTGGGTGTTACCCTAAAAGAGGACCTGACCTGGGGGGCTCACATTGCAGCCCTGGTCAAAAGGGCCCAGCAGAGATTATACTACTTGAGACTGCTCAGGAAACAACAAGCGAATGGAAAATTGCTGGCGACCTTCTACCGCTGCAACAGAGAGAGTATCTTAACTTACTGCACCTCTGTATGGTTTGCCAATTGCACAGTGACAGATAGGAAAGCACTCCAGAGGGTTAATCTCATTTCCCAGAGGATCATGGGTTGCCCTCTCACCTCTTTGGAAAAGCTTTAGAGCTCCCGCTGCCTTAAGAAAGCTCAAAACATTCTCAAAGACCCATCTCATCCTGGGCAGACAGTACAGGACAATAATAAAAACAAGGACAAATAAGCTGAAAAACAGCTTTTATCCCAGGGGTCTGTTGAATTCTACAGTATAGTGCAATATTAATGCAATATCAGGGGTTTTCAATTCAAATGTATAAAATGTGAAGGATGTGTGTTTTATATGTATTATGTACACTGAAGATGGCATTTAATTTTATTGTACGAGGTAAACTTAAAGGACTAACTGCCCATTTCCCAAATAAGCCTCATACTGAAACATGAATCTGCTTCACATTTGCAGTTTTGAGATAGTCCATTTCTTTTCTTACACACAGAAAATTAAGTATTTGCTTAATTAATTCCCCCTTCTCTTCTTGGTGCCTTGAAGTCAGTAGGGGCTCCTGGCAACTGTCTGGGCAAGGTTCTTTCGGAGGGGCTTTGGCATGGCTTCCTTTGTGGGACGGAGAGTGACTGGCCTCATCTCTAAAATGGGACTGCAGCTCCAAGATCTCCAAGGTTCTAGCCACAACACAAACTGGCTCTCACCTGTCACACCCCAAGCAACAATCACACTGCATTGTGTGAATGCAAGTCTTTACTTGAAATAGTGATGATCACACAGCAAGTGTACTTTCTTCTTTAACGGTGGGTGGTTTTTTTTACCTTTTCATTAAATTCCTCCAGTGCATTGATCAGCTCTTCCCCATCCACTTGATTTAGAAGGACTCTGACTATACTGACTGGAAGGTCATATTTTTTCCTCAGGGTGAATTCCAAGGCTTGAACTATAAAGGTGGTGTTAACATGACTGAGATTCTGAAGCTAGGAAGAGAGGATTAAAGAAGTATTAGTACTGCTGTCCAAAAGCAGTTTGAAAATAATGCAGTAACAGCAAACTGGCATGGAATTAAGACACTAAAGCCAACTTTTGAATCTAGCTGCCTGTCAAGATATTGATGGGTTAACAGAAGTCCTTTTCCTTTTCTGAAATCTTCATGAATGAAATTGGACAGACTTTCTCCTAATGCAGGAGGGGTCCCCAAACCCCAGGCTGCAGCCTGTTCGAATGGGCACGCATGTACACATGAAGCTCCACTAGCGCAAGTGGTGGGCAAGTGCACACACAAAGGTCCACTTGCATAAGTGGCGGGGCCCTACACACACAAAGTTCATTCCATTTGCACCAGTGGAACTTCATGCACACAAGCACAAGCTCCATTTCGCAAGTGGAGGACGTGTGTGCACACTCACATGACACACACACACGCACTGGAATCCCTCCAGTCAATGACATGGCAATTCTATTTTGGCTTCTTTAACAAGGCTGGCTTGGTTTTATTTTAGCCACTAGTTTTGTGCAGGTTGACATCTTCATCTTGCAGTGCACATGAAAAAGAATTTTGACTGTACAGTCATAGGTGCCACCTTGGCTTTTTTAAGCCATCCACCCCAAAATCAAAGTAGTGAGGAAACATCAAACTGAAAACAAGTAGATTCCTTATGACTTGTGTTTGAGGCACCCTGTTCTAAATCTGTATTCTGCATGGTCCAGTTTTCCACAAGTGCCACCCCCGAGACCAGGGTTTCTAACACTTGGAGAAGGGGTTGGGCTGCCCAAGCCTGGCCTGACCTCTACTAGCTGATGAAAGACCAGCAAAGCCTTCCTCCAGCAGCACTCTCCTAGCCCTGGATCAAGGCCCTATCTTAATCTACTACTGTCAGGCTGTAAGGCAAGCACATGGAGAACTTACATTGTCACAAACGAGGTGAGTAAGGTTGGCAGATATTTTGACATCAATGCTGTAAGAAAAGGGGGAAAAAAGACAGGCATAGAGGGACAGTGCCAGAAAAGGCTCCCAAGAATGTGGCTAGGGCCACATTCAATAAGGTAGGCCCATTTTTGCAACAACGGACATGGTACATGACCCACCCACAGCCTTAAAAAAAAACACCATCCTGCCAAAAATTCATATTTTCCAAGGAATTTCCAAGTTTTGATGGATTCTTTTTTTTCCATTACTAAATTTGTTATCTGATTATTCCTTACCAGACTAGGAAAAAATATCCTCCCTTTCCATTTTTATACTCCTTTTGGAAGCAACCTGAGTTTCCCTTATAGTTTCAGAGCTTTTCCACAGTTGTGTCTTCCTTTATTCTATGGCTGTTAATAGGTTTTGTTATTACCAGAAAGGAAGATGCAGGGCAGAAGGATGTTCAAAATGTTCCCTAATATAGTGTAGCTCCCTCCAATGCATTGGGAATACAGTCCCACAATGCTTAACCTGTTACAGGATTGCAGAACATGGATGTATTCCATCCTTCATTCTAGCTCTTTCACTTGACAATATTTTTGGATGTTTTCATCCACTCAAAAATATTGTCTTCTGGGCAGCTAATCCCTTGCTTCTCTACTATACTCCATTCTGCAAACTGCCATATTCCTGGTAGCAGCTCAAGTTCTCATCTGTTCCTCATGTCATCTATAGAAATCAAGAAACAAAACTTTTTGGCAATATGGCAATAAATGCTGACATTTTTGCAGCCAAAAATATTGTTCAAAGCTCAGGAACAAAGATTTGTAAAATAGAACGCTAGTCCTGAATGTGGACAAGGAAATACCCTTTTATGCTAATTTCACTTTTGTTCAGAATCTTCCCAGCATCAGGAATTTGTTAATTGGTTTATAAAAATACCTCTCTACATCTTCACAAACTTCGGAAACTGCAAAAATAAAAGTAAGAAAAAAACAAAGAAAAAATTAGCAGGCTTCTCCCCCAAAAGATATACTTGTTAGGAGAATCCCAAACGACAAAAGTATTGCAATATATCACGTACCATTAATCCTGGCAGCGGGACACTAAAATGAAGAAAAGTACAAAAGTGCAATTAATGTTGAATCCTTCAAATGTCAGTGAATTCACAATTGTGGTGCAAGTGTTTATTGCAAACTGGAATAAAGCATCATGAAGCCTTAACTTTAAAAAAAATAATCCAGTCTTTATTTCTGCAGATTCATAACATTGCCATAAAGCTAATACAGGTCTTTACAACTGATAGGGAGACTATTTATAAAAATAGGAGCCTTGCTTAAAAATGTTCAGCATCCGTTTTTTTCCTTGTTGAGCTGTTTCTTCTTTTGTGATTCACATCCCTACCAGAAATCTTTAGTAGTAAAGTGTCAGGCAACTAAGTTAATTTTTGCCATTTTTTTGTTCAAGAGAATTACAAACAAACTCAAAATCCCGACATTATGGAACAAGTATACAACAAATCAGTGAAAAACCCTGTTCCTGATCATTTCGTCCTTCCCTGGACGCCCACAGGAGGAGATTAAAATCTGTGAGGTGCTGCATGCAAAAGGCCAGTCACAATGCCCACTCCACCATCTTGGAAATTTTGACAAGAGCAGGACAGCACCTTCACTGTGTCAAGACAGACAAAAGCAACTTACCGATGCCCCTTCCACTCTGGCTACAAAGAAGGCTGCAAAACAAGGGGAAGGCCATTAGAAAGGGCCCTTGGCTTTTTCTCGTCCAACCATTTGGCCACCGTTTGGCCATTCCTCCAACTAGGAAGAGCTTTCAAATGGACACTGAGACTCAGATCCTTGTGACTGGATGTGTCAGAAAATAAAAATGAGCTCCTCTGCTCCTCCCTGTGGACTGCACACTTTTCCCCAAATACGTGTGCCCAAACAGAGGAAATCTACTTATGCTCTGTGCTTTCTGTTTATCAGCAATCTTTTGCTCCTACGTGTTATACTACCAGGTGGAGGGATTCGGGTGTTGGCGGGGGGGGGGGGGGGAGGACAAGAGGGGGATCAGCTGTTTTGTGGTGTAAATGTATAAGAAATTCCCAAGAAATGCTGGATTCCATTCATCGGTGAAAAAGCTGCATACACAACGAAACGGCTTCTCTGTAGACTTCGAAGCTGTGCAAGAAAGATGGATTCAAAGGGCCTCACAAATTTGAGATTGGCAGAGACGTCTGTGGCAGAAGGGGCCCAACTCAGCCCTGGAGCCTCTGGTTAAAGAGCCAGGCCATCCCCAACACAAATGAGGACTGCAAGAGACAGAACTCCTGGCCTCCAGGTAGAAGGCTGGGTTACTGGGATGGCCAGTCTAAGCACACCTATAGGGATCTACACTAGGGAAAGCTGATGAGAAATTCTTTGAATAAGTATCCAGAACAGGAAGTCTAAATAGACACAAAGTGAATCAAAAGTCCAACGAGAAACAATGGAGTTCTGCATATTCCAATCATTTTGTCATTGGCCTAAGAACTGCCTTAAATTTAAAAGCTGTAGTGGAGAACATTTGGGGGAAACACATAGACAGCTCTAAATGTGCAGTTCAATATCTTCTTCCCAGAAAAATTTGTCTTCTGGCAAGAATTTGCAGCCAGTGGAACTGCATGAGACAATGGTCAGATATCTAATATAATGCATTGGCTGCCAGTCTACTTCTGGGTACAACCCAAAGGGTTGGTGATCACTTTTAAAGCCCTTCATGGCATGAGTCCAGGCCACTTGAGGGACCAGTCACCCCACTGGGGTGGGCCTGTCCTTTCTGTGCTGGGGGAGGAGGCCTGGGGCAGCTCTCTTCAGCCTGATTATTCTGACCAGTGGGGTCCAGGCGGGCCCCCTTCTTCTCTGCTCTTGTTCCTGCCCTCTGAAACATCTCCCTCTCACCACCAATGTGAGGCTGACCCAGCCCTCCTATCCTTTCATAAGGGCTCTGCCAGTTGGCCTGGGGCTGAAATGCAGGAGCAGCCCACTGGTTGATTAACAAGAGGCCCCACCTGCAATTGGATTGTAGCATTTGTTGGTTTTTTGTTTTCTCTCTATGTGTGTGTGTGTGTGTGTGTGTGTGTGTGTATTGACTGGAAACCACCAGAGTTACCCTCTAGATAACATGGGCGCCAATATTTAAAACAAATAATAAACAAATAATCTTTAGAAGGGATGAATCCATGTGGAAGAGGTTACCATAACTCTCATAACTGAGATGTTTGGGCGAAAGATGGCCACAACCTTACTGGCAAGGAGTCAGTTTAGAGGCCCATTGTGGGGAGGGGGGAGAAAAGCAGTGACGTACCTATATAGAGCACAAAAGCTGCAAATAGGAGTGAAGGCTGACACACCTGTGCCATGGTGGGTCTCCTCCAGGCACTGCAAAAAGAAAACAGCCACCAGTTGTGCAATTTAAAGGTTCTTAAAATGCATCTCAAAGGTTTCACAGGGGAAAGTTACAAAAGTTGTTGACATGTTTTACTCTCCCCATGAACGACACCCTTACAAAGCAGCATGTTGGTCAAGCAACCTCATCCATGCATCCATTCATGCTTTGGGACAGGTCATGCTCAGTAATCACTTCGCAAGAGAGTGCTCTCAAAATGCAGGCATGGAGACTGCCTGGCAAAGTTCAGGTTCCTAATCTGGACCATTGCTCAAGGCAATATAGAAAAATGTAGCCAACAGGACATCAAAGCAAATAGAGAGCAAGCAGAAATTCATTTTTAATATGTTTTTCTCAGAACAGCAAATTGTAGATGAATACATTCTTTGCCTCTGGTTTAAACAACAAAATGTCTATCTGTTAAACAACAGGTAGCCCAAATCCAAAGATCCTGGAGCAAAAACCTTTAGAGGCAAATGTTAAGTTTTGGAAATTTCCTTGAAGAATTTGGTAAAAACAAGGAATGCCAGTAATCGATTGCCAAAGTAAGTAGACCATTAGGAAAGTCCAAAGGTTTCACAATCCAGGTTTTATTCTTCTGAATTCATGTCTTAACTTTTTTTTTCCAGTTTCCATATTTCAAAATTATTATAATGCAATTGTTATCCGCTAAAGCTCTGTCGTGCTTTGAGCTATTTGGTAAAAACAAGAAGATACCTCTCCAAATGCACACAAGGAAACAAAAATTGGGAAACAGAGAACGGGTCAAGGGAAATTATAGCACAGTAAGCAGTAAATACAATCAATGGATCCTCGTAGATAAAGGTTTACCCACCTCTGTTCAGGAGTCGAAGTCCTCCTGATGTACCTTAAAGAACAAGTTTTTGCTGGATGATCCTGATCTTATCCCTTGAAGGTGGGAGATGTCAGAAAGAAAGAGGCGTGACAGGTATCAACTTTCCACAGTTGCTTCAGAAGGAGATTAAATTATGGTTGGAGGATGACTATAAGCCCTCTTTTAAATACTCAGGCAATCTCCACCTATCAGTGGAAACCATGTCAAAATAGACATCTCTCACTCAAAGGCACGACTCCCAATCAGTAGTAATTATGGTTATTTACCATTGATTCCAAAGTCCACCATTTGGAACATGGAGTTTCTCACATTTTGAAAAGGAAAAGATGAAATGATGAAATATCTTTCCAAATGTCTTCCTATCACACCTATAGTATATTAGTCAGATGATCCAAGTCATTAGAGGTGAACATGCTATAAAGTTTGGGGATACCAAAGCAAGCTTTGGATTGCAAAATTCTCTTCTGCTTTTTGGAATGAAAAGGGCATTGGGGCATTGAATGGACCTTTCCTCTCTTCTGAAGTTGTGGTGTTAATATAGTCAAGTTCCTTATGAAGAAAACTGTGAATTTTGTGAAGTTTTGTTCAAAAAGCAATCCAAATGCAATTTGTACTGATATCTAGTCAACCCTCCAGAGATTTAGACAAAGACCCAGCAAGAATATATCAGGCATTACTTTGTGGGTATCATCAATTTCAAAGGTTTCTTGGGATTCAACTGCTCTGAAGCCAACCTTTACGGTACTTAAGAGCAGAATCCTGTGGGGATTTTGGCAAAAGCCAGTTAAAATAGAGGCCAAGAGAAGCAGGGATCTTAAGTTCTTAAGTTCCTAACAATTTGCAGTAATATTTTAGAGGAGAAGGATTAGATGGAATGCATGTGCCTTTACATTAGAAAATTAGAAAAAGTCTCCCTTAACTTAGTAAGGTTGGTGGTTCTTATAGTTTTTTATTGTAGGGGAGGAAAAAGCATTAGCAAAGATACTGCACAAATTACTGCTTGTCCCAATTGTTTGTCTACACCTGCAAATTATTGTTTTATTTTAAAACTTGCTAACCCTTTGACGTCTGCATTCTTTTTGCTTGACTTTCATCTACTTGCTGATAATAAAGATATTCAACAGTTTCAGAGCAGGTTGGCCAGGTTTCTCTTGGCTTCAGGGAATTCCAGCCTGGCCAGTATGTCCTCATTCTTGGACAGCCCCTCCTAGAATGCCCTACCATTCTCTGGGTCATGCTGGCTTCTCTTTGCACATGATTACTAACGCTACTTACAGGCAACCTCAATTATTTTAAATTTTTCTGTAAAGCAGAAGGGAAATCTATGTAGTTGATCATCTACACTACCGTATCTCCATAGTGGAAGCAAAAGAAAAGGAAAAATGAACAATTGATTGAATGAAACCAATTCCAAATATGGATTCTGACGAGTAGGAAATTGCATGAAGCTAACCAGGTGGGAACTGATGCAAGAGGCATCTATCTTTAGATCCTACATACATTGCAAATAGCCAGAACATGAAGTAAAGGTGTTAGGAACATTTCCGATGTGCTGGAATGCGCTAAACACCTGTGGGACTTATTTGGCTGAGGGCTACAGATGCCCCGGGCCAAAGTCTTCTGCTTCCTGCCTCAGATTTTTAATCCATCTCTAGACTGGGGCAAAGTTAGCGACTAACTTTAGCCCAAACCTGCCAAAAGACACAGGGAAGATAATAGATTGATTCATCACATTCCACTAAACCTGTAGAGGGTCTATTTATTTCTCACATTTCTATCTTGCTGTAATAGACCATAAAAACCAAGTAAAACACCCATGGTACAACATTCATAAAAACTGTACAATACCCCCAAGGTAAAACATGTACATTAAAAATGGTGTAACAAAACCAGGGAGAAAGCTCTCAGAACTACTCTGTCTTTGAAAGCTTCTGAAGAAGGCTCTGATCTCCCAGCAGGCTGTTTGGCAGCATCAGTGCTGCTGTGAAAAATAGCCCCTTCTTGTGGCAGTCTCCATCTGAAATGTGGGCTCAAGGGTAGTTTCTGTTTGACCTGACAGGCCTGCCCGGCCTTGGTGGGAGGAGGGGATCCTGGAGCAGAGCCCTAATGGGATTATAGGTGAGAAGCAGTTCCTTACATTGTACCCAGAAACCAATCAGCAGCCGAGAGTCAACAAATTACAGCAATGGGTTCCCAATGACCATACCAGGGAGTTTTTCAGGTGTTTTTCAGGTGTATCAATTTTAATTGAATATCATAACTGCCTGAAAGCTCAAGGATGAGTTCACCAGAAATCGACAGGATTTTGTCATCTTGTGAGATTCTGAATGATTTGTTTTTTAAAATATTGGAGCGGAATGACATACTTGATGACATCATGGTTTCGAGAATATAAATGAAATAATCTCTGCTATAAACCTAAGTCACCAGAAATCAACAGTAGTTTAAATTCACCTTACTGAACAAACCCATTACACCTATTATTTCTAGTACCAGTTAAACAGGGTTCCACTTGGCCAAGACTAATCAGGCAGTGACTCTAAAGTTGTACATATCATTATTTATTTTAATAAATCTGAAACAATAAATATTCCAAAATCTTATGAAAGTCATAAACGCACAAAACATCACCTTACATCATGTTTTCAAATATACAAAGAAATTATTTCATAATCCCAGTTAATAGTGCAAATTTAGAAACTTTGGGTGATAATATGCAGTGGGAACTAACGTAACACAGCTAAATTCACAAGCCATCCCAAAATAGATCTCTCATTGATAAAACATCCCATTAAGGAATTAGATTTATATTTCTGGTCAATTCCAAACAAAAGTTTATCAAAAAGTTCAGCGAGCAGGAGGGGAGGGGAGGATCACGGGGCTGAAAGGAACCTCAGAGGTCTTCTACTCCAGCCCCTGCCTAAGGCATCCAGGTCAAACGGTTGTCCAATCATTCCATGAACATCTTCAGTGAGGGAGCATCCACAACTCCAGGAGGCAAGCTGTTCCATTAATTGCTGTCAGGAAATTTTTCCTGAGTTCCAGGAATTTAATTACTTAATTATTTTCTTGCTTGGTCTACAAGGTGCAAAGGTTGAAAACAGCACTCAGATTGCTGGGGGATGGCGGGTGGGAGCAAGCAATGTCACAAAAGCAGCATCTCTTATCCCACAGTGTTTAGCCAAGAAAACACTTAGCAATTTCCCATGCTAGCATTACATCAGGCGTTCCTTATTAGTTTCACACAATAATTTCAAACTGAAGTAAGAGTGGCATGGTGACCTAGAGGTGAGTGAAAGTTCAATCCTAGGCAGCGAGAGATGTTTCTCTATCAGGGCGCAAAGAGAAAATATCTGCTGCAAACTCCATGTAGGCATCAGGAAGGGCATCCAGTCAGTAAACGCTCGGCTCCATTCAGTCATCCGACTCCACCCCGAATCAAGAGATTACAGGGTCATAAAAAGAATAAAAATTCAAACTGAAGTAAATGATAAACTATTAAGGAACATGCAAGAAGACCTTCCCACTTCAGTTAAAAGGTAGAGTGGTCTGAGGCCAGCTCCACTCTACCCCTTTCGTACAGGCATCATGACACTCTGCACAAACACACTTGCAGACACCCATTGTTTTTTCCCTTTTACATTCGGAGGATCCTATGGTCCACCTGCAAAATGTGAGAGCGCCTCATAACAGCTACCGTTTTCCTTGTTTCCTGGGGAGAAAAAGATAGATTTTCCCTTTTGTTATGAGTTATTTTAATGTTATTTTATAAACTGCCTGTTTAAGTCTCTAGTCCTGATGTACTGTTCCTGACAGTACACTTATGGGTAAAATAATTGCTCCTTGCTTCATTTCAGGAGACAGATTAAGAGAAATATTTTTGTAATACCTTTTTGGAACAGAAGCTTCATATATTACAACCACAGGAGTTATTCTTTTAAAAATGGCAAGATTTAAATGTGTGAAGTTTTAAAAAATTCTCAGGCTCTCTATGAGGAAAACAAATGATTTTTTAATAATACAGTGGAATACCTATAGAACAAAAAACATGTCGCCTATTTGTAATCTATTAATTAGATTATCTATAAGTCTAGAACTGGGAAGGTAGACAATCATTAGGCCTTTCTTGTACAAAGTTTAAATCAAGTGAAGTAAAAAAATCATATATAAAAGGCACTACAGACAAAATTAGCAAGATCCTCCAAAAACACAACATCAAAACAGCATTCTGCACAAACAGAAAAATATCCACCATCTTAAGAAACCCCAAAGACAAAATCGAATTAGAAAACCAAGGAGTATACGAAATCCCCTGCACTGCCTGCCCTACCACATACATTGGACAAACTAACAGAAGAATAAGTGCACGCATTGAAGAACATAAGAACTCAATCAAAAAAGAAGAAACAACCTCTTCCCTGGTCCAACACCTCAAAGCCACAGGACATGAAATTGATTTTAAAAATACCAGAACCATCGCCAAAACCGAACACTTCAACAGCAGAATAATCAGAGAAGCCATAGAGATAGAAAAACGCCCACACAGCATGAACAAACGAGATGACACCTCCCGCCTTCCAGCCATTTGGAAACCCGCCCTCATGAACAGACGAGTACCTAACATGAAGAAGGACACCAGACCCACACCCATGAGAGCCACACAAGATGCCACCACCACACTTCCATGTAGAAAACAGACTCACACCCACTCAGAAGATGAGACACGACCATGGACCAGAAGCTGCACTGCAGCTGCATCACTACCCACTTCAAACCCCTCCGAGCCATACATGAAGCAAACCGACACCCACTATGAAGATGCAGAAGGACCACGAACTCGAAGCCAAACAGCAAGATCACAACTCACCAGCTCAAATCCCCCAGCAACTAAGACTAACCTGAGCACAACCAAGCCCCCCACCTGAACAGAACACGCCTCCAACCAATCAGAACACAGCTAACCCCCCAACCAATCAGAACACAGCCAAACCCCCTACCAATGAGAACACACCTCCACCCAATCAGAACACAGCCAAGCCCCCACCCAATCAAGTCCCACCCCCACTGGCAGTTAAAAGGAGGAAGCAGCTGCAATCTCACATCACTCTGAAAAGCAAGAGCCAAAGACAGAGGCCTGATGATGATGAATGAGACTTCATCGAAACGTTGCCTAGACACTTTGAATCTTACGCGGGAGAAAACCCGAACAACCAAAGATCCATATATATATATATATATATATATATATATATTCTTACATTTTCGCGGGTACTTACATGTATGGCATTCAGCTTTGTTCGGGTATTTTCCCACGTCATTGTAGTTGTGCTTTTAAAGTTGTAGCAACGTTTCGGCAGAATCTCATCTGCCATCATACAGAAGCCTACATCCAGTAAAATAGTTTCATCTATTCAGTTATTTTGAAGACCTTGGGCCACCACACCACCTACCCTATGAATCTGTTAGTATAAGAACTGAATTAATGTATTAGAGCTTTCCTCAAGGGAAGGAAGAAAAAATGCAATGGACAGTAAATTAAAAATATTAAATATTGTAAATGAACAAATAAATAAATCCATACAACATCTTAGTAATTTGTACTACTGCCAGTTTTACATGCTATTTGGTTTTATATTTTTACTTTGTAGTATATTTTACAAGCCACTTAGAGAACTTTGGTTAGAAGTTAACAAAGAAACGTAGCACACTTAAATACATCAAAGCTTGCATAAAAGTAGTTGATTTAATTTGCTTGATGAATGAGCCAATTTTTAATTGGCTCAATGTATTTTTGTTGTATTTTTATTAATTGCAGTTTAAAATTTAAAAAGTTTATAAACAGTTGCTTTGGACAGCGAAATGGGCAGCACTGAAATTTAATAAATGAAATAATAAAAATAGAAATAAAAAAATGAAACTGCTTTCATTTATTGCAATGTGAATTGTCTTGTCAGGCTATATCCTGAAAGACTGCATGTAACCTTTTTTTAAAAAAAAATCAATTAAACAATTAAAAGCAACAAGCTTAACTGTTTGATTTTTTTAAAAAAGGTTTCTAAGCAGTCTTTTAAGACGCATCATTACACACAGACTCCAGTCAATTGCATAAAGCCTGAAAATGAGTGATTTTATGTCATGTGATTTCACAGCTTAAAGATTGAAACACATCTTTTAATGTGAGGTCCGTTCTTCTCCGATTCAGATTCCATACTGATTTCCTTCAGTATGTGTGCCACAAAGACAGCCAGGCACAAGAGTGAGGGTCAGGATTAGAATTTCGCTTACCTATCTTGCCATTTTGTGCAAGCCATATCTTCAAAATTCTACACCCACTTTTTAAAAATGCATATTATTTAACTGTGGTTTACTGCCAACCGTGTGGATTTAGGGCCTGCAGCCACAAACAAGACAATTTGCAGTGTGAGCATCCTCTAGTGAGAAGAACTGTTTAATGCACCAATTTCAAAGACTGAAATTAGAACACTGGGAAAGCTGAGGGGAGGAGTTATGCACAGAATAATCTATACCTCACCAGGTATATTTGTACAAAATTCTACTTAAACTTTGAATATAAATAACATACATTACACTTGGTTACTAAAGTTTTAAAATATTGCCAAAGATTTAAGCAGTTTCACAAGATCAACGGTATGCCGTGGGCAGGAAAGATAAGTGTAAAACCAAGGAGATAAAACCTCCATTCTATGTGGAAGCTCTTCATACAATCCCTGGAATCAATCAAAAGGCACATTTTCAAAACCTCCCACAAGAAGTAAGCATTTTCTCCTTTGGTTAAGGGAAACTGGGATGCAGCCCTGTCATTGATAAAAATAAATAAAAGTCATTTCTCCATCAGGCAACAATCAGGATCAAAAAATCATAAGCCTAACAAAATGGAAGATGGGGGAATATCATGTCACATCTGTTTGGTATGCAAGTAACTTAAATCCATTTGAATTTTATGCATTTAGAAAATGCACCACAAACATTTTTTTAAAAAAAATACTCTGAGACTAATTCAGACATCCTAAAAATATATTATTTACTACAATATTCTGGAACAGACCTTAAAATGCCATTGATAGAATATAGGATGGTTTTCTCCCAAACAGCCCTATAAGTTAAAACCATGAGTTTGATTTAAATTGGTAAGCAAATAGTTTAAAAGTCAAAACTTGTGCTTTGAGGACAAAAAAAGTGGAAGCCAGGCAGGCAGCTTTGCACATACACCTATCAAAAGGCCATCAAAATATCCTTCAGGGGAGCTCTTCTGGTTTGCAGTGCTTCGGGGCAGGCAGGGATCCGCGACTGTATGCGGTTTCTGCCTGCGCTCACTGCCCGAGCGCCCTGAGCCACCCGGCTTCGGGGCTAAGCCACCTCCGTAGAAGGTGGCGAAGACAGGGGGGACCTGGCAGGGTCGAGAGACATCGCACCTCTCTTCCCTAGCCAGCAAAACCCCCTTTTCCAAAGGCAGCTGAGCGGCGGTCAGAAATGGCCACCACATAGAAGAGCTCAGCCGGAAAAAGAAAGTGCAGGAGGAGTCGCAAAGAAGTGAAAGTGGTTTTTGCTGACCGGGATAAAGTAAGAGAAAGTACCCTGGAACTTGAAATTTGCAAAAGATAATTTGTTTCCAGAGAGAGTTACAAGCGGCGAATGGAATTTTAAAAGGAAAAGTTTTTTTTCTTTCTTTTCACTCTCCTTCCTAATGTAACAGTGGATGGAACCATAAGAGAAATCGGAAAACCCGCATTGGAGGTAATTAAATGCTGAAGGGATAAGGATTTCTGAACTTTTTTTAAAAAAAAAAACCTATTTTGCTGTGAGTGGGGAGAGGAAAAAAAAATTGGAACAGAATTTGAAAATAAGGAGAAGACTGCCTAGAATTTTAAAGAGTTATTAAACATTAATAAGACTTCTAAAAGATATATTTTAAATGAAACTTTGTGACTAAACAGTAACCCCAGAAAGAGAAAGTGAAGAAAGGAGAAAGTATTAAAAGAAACAGCTTATTTGGATTGTTTGGTGACTTTGGAACTTCTGAGAACTATCTTTGATTAAAAGCACTTGGGTGGTTGTTTGGAAAAACTTTTTCTCTCTACATTGGCATCACTTGTGGATGAGTTGAAATTTGAATACCAAAAATACAAAAAAGAAGAACAAGAAGGTAAGGACTCTCTTGGCACTCTCTTTCAATTTTTAGAAATGGCAGTTTGTATCTATGAAAAGCTGACTGCGCAACAGGATGATTGGGATAAAGAAGAAGCCATTTTTGATGAACAAGTGACTATTTGGGGAAGGAAAGGAGAAAGAGGAAAAGGAAAAGGGGACTTTAAGACTTGGAAAAACAACCAAAAAAGAGAAAAATAAGGTGAAAAGTGGATACTATGTTAGAAAACAACAGAAAGGAGGAAAGCAGAAGAAGAAAAGGGAGGTGGAGAGACAAGGGGGTAAAAAGGGCAAGGAGAAGAATAAGCAAGGGAGAAAGGAAGGGA